TTAACTTCGTATTTCAGCTGGTTGACTAAAATCCCTTATTTTGGCTGCTGGTCCCTTATTTTCAAATCTGTAAGTTGACAGCTATGCTTTATGCTCTCTCCTGCCCCATCCCTAGATTTGCAAAATTTGTCCTGGGGCTTCCGCACGTGTCGCCTGAGGAAGTGGCCACCCACGACGAGCAGTACGGCTTGGGAGGGGCCGCCTTAGAAGAGCAACTTTTTAATCCAGAGGCCGAGGCGGAGCCAGACCGCCAAGCGGAGCCCTGCGAGGTGGAGGAAGACCCCAAGGAAGAGGAACAAAGGCAAAACTTTTTCAGTAAAGATGTTCTCTGAGTCACACTGTCTTGAGGTAGTGAGGGAAACGCACCACAGTTTTGCAAGTGGGTAAGAATTTGCAGAACGGACCTTGGAAGGTTCTGCTTTCTGAACTGCACTGCAGGGGGGCAGCCAAGGTTTTCCGAACAATTCTGCCACTTCAGGTCTCTTTTTGCAACCTTTTAGGGTTGCAGAGATTTATCTGAGAACACGTCTGCTCCCCAAAGGTACTGAGTTTAACCAGAAGTTCTGCAAGTCTTTTGTTTTTTATTCCAAATCAGAGGCTTGCAGGGAAATCTCCTCCCTGCTGATAAACAAAAAACGAGGACCACTTTTATATGGTTTGTTTGCTCAAAAGACTCAACTTCTGGGGTGTTGAGCTCAGAAAACCAGCAAGAAGTTAAAGCCTAATAAAAAACTATTTAAAAAAAAAATTCGAAAGGTGAGGGTGAACCAAAGTTGTCAGTCTCTGGTTTTAACATGGTGCTGATGTTTAAGAGGGTGTTTGTAGCTCTGCTGCAATTATCCTCTTCCCTATTTACATATCCTGGTTTGGAATAAGCATGTGTCCTGTGGTAGAGGGAGGGCAGCATTTTCCACTATTGCATGGTGTGTATGGAAGTCCACATCCATACAGCTGTGGGTAGAAGGCTTGCCTCCCCAACTCTCTGCTGAATGTCTGGATGTCTAGGGCAGCTCTGGGCAGGCCAGTAAGTGGGGTCTTGTTCTTCCTTCCAAACATACACTATGGGGACTCTTAGGGACACAGTCCCTACCAGAGAAGAATGGCAAACCAAGCCGATGGACTTATGCTGAAATGGCAAAGTTGACCGGAAAACTCAGGAACCAAGAGGACAAGAACTCTATAATAAAGAATGGGGGAAATTCACAACTTACTTAAGAGACCACGGTAAGCAGATGAAAACATTGGCAGGGTTTTGATTTCACTTGTAGTGTAACAATTGTCATGGAAAATATGGAATGATGTGATAGTTAGAGAGTCTGGAGAAGATGCAGTTTTAAACGATTAAAAGGGGACTCCAGGGAAGGGGTGGAGGCAAGTTCTGAGATTCAGAGGAATCTCTATATATGGATATGTATTTGTTTGTTTGTTTTTTGTAATTTTGTATTGTAAAAACCAAATAAAAATGATTTAAAGAAAAAAACATAGACAAGCGCACATCTTGGTCTCTGCTTTATCTATCTATCTATCTATCTATCTATCTATCTATCTATAATTTTTATTAACAAACCAATCAAATCACATTAATTCCAAATTACAGAGCCAAATTTTTAAATTTTTGTTGGGGGTACCCATGCTTCGAGCTCAGAAAGGGATCCAATCCAATCATCTCTATTGCTGCTGCTTTGATGTTCACAGTTCTGTCCAAATAATATTCACATTTCTATCCATTCTTCTCTTTATTGTTTTCCTCATCTTCTTGATGTTATCGTATGTTTTTCCTTTCTCTGATAGTCTCCACAAGCGAGTTGAAAACAAACATATTATAGTCCTGTGTGGATTTTTCATTTCTCCAAGAGCCATATTCAAACAGATGCCATTTCAACACTTCTGTACAAAACAATCTTAACGTCTGCCATTACTCTTCGCAGGCCTGTCACTCCTTCCTCGATCTTCTTAGGGGGTTCTGCCAGGTCACACTCAAGAGTCCAATATGATAACAAATCCGTTGGCCTCCTCCCCCTCGATCGTAAATCTTGCAACAAAGCCTGCCTCTAACGAGTCTCTTTTTATAAACTGCGTCATTCCAAAAGCCTTTCATTCCTTTCCAGATATTCCACAAACCATGTCTTTGGTTAGTAATTCATTTCCACACAGTTCTTAATCATCCCGCTTATAATTAATTGTTACAACGGTTCTTCTTGGGGGGGGGGGAATTGTTAGGTAATCACATAAGAAGAAAAAAAGAAAAGTCCCCCCCCTTTCCGTCCCATTCCAACATACCAACAGCTTTGATGTGTCTTCTTCTTGATATATTTTCCTGTTGAATTCAGCCCATCACTCAACTTCACAGAGGTCACTTCACATAGCAGTCTTAACTCCCTTTCTTCACTCGAAACATGTGCATTTGCTGCTCTTTAATTGTTTATTTTGAGCTGCTGCAATCAGGCGCGCTATCAGAGACAGCGTCAGGGAGATCCATAAACCCACACAAGGGCTGTGCGCCTAGTGCCCTCACCCCCTGCATCTTTCAAACTCGGGGTGATTTATCGGCAACCACAGGCGAAAGCAGTGTTTCCCCATTCCCTGGGGTAACAAAGGGAGGCTGCATACTCCCATACCAGCCTCTTAATTACCTCGTGTGAGCCGGAGAGATGGTGTTGTTGGCCATCTTCCAATGCGCCCCTAGCGGTCCCCCCTTGGTCTCTGCTTTATCACAAGTGGTGTTGAATGTTTTATTTTACATAAAACAAGCCTGTTTGTATATCACATGCAGGATGTGTTTTAAATTCTCTTAATGTACTTTTAATCTTTTGCTGGAAGCCGCCCAGAGTGGCTGGGGAAACCCAGCCAGATGATGATGATGATGATTATTATTATTAATTATGAGATTGCATGGAACTAATGGAACGCTCCGCAAAGGAGCATTTGCTATGGGTTAGGAGAGATTCTTGTAGTGGTGGAGTGTGCGATTTTGAGAGCTGTTGATGGTGTGTATTCAGTACACTGCATGCTGAGCCGATCCCTTTATTTTCCCTTTCTCGGGTGGATAATCCGGTTCAGAGTCTTTATCTTTCTACCTCACAAGGATTATTTGCAAAGCTTAAAAAAATGAAGGGAAAGATATAGTTAAGTACATCCTGAAATCTCGGGAGCCTGGGGAGGGGGAGAGGAGAGACAGATCACAGTCAAGATTCAAATCAGTACGAATGACTACGCTGCTCATGCAAGACAGCTTTTAAAGCTGAGCTCGACCGCTAAAAGGGGACTTCGAAAGGCAGGGGCTGTTCAGGCACAATATTCTCTTAAAAGTAGAGGAAGCAGAAGATGAGCCGGAAGACTCCCAACGCTGTCGCCAGGAGGGGAGCCTTGCAAAGCGCATCTGTATCCAGCAACAGCCGAGGATGCAGAGCAGCGAGATTTCATAGAATCATAGAGTTGGAAGAGACCACAAGGGCCATCGAGTCCAACCCCCTGCCAGCCAGGAAACACCATCAGAGCACTCCTGACATATGGTTGTCAAGCCTCTGCTTAAAGACCTCCAAAGAAGGACACTCCACCACACTCCTTGGCAGCAAATTCCACTGTCAAACAGCTCTTACTGTCAGGAACTTCTTCCTAATATTTAGGTGGAATCTTCTTTCTTGTAGTTTGGATCCATTGCTCCGTGTCCGCTTCTCTGGAGCAGCAGAAAACAACCTTTCTCCCTCCTCTATATGACATCCTTTTATATATTTGAACATGGCTATCATATCACCCCTTAACCTCCTCTTCTCCAGGCTAAACATGCCCAGCTCCCTTAGCCGTTCCTCATAAGGCATCGTTTCCAGGCCTTTGACCATTTTGGTTGCCCTCCTCTGGACACGTTCCAGTTTGTCAGTGTCCTTCTTGAACTGTGGTGCCCAGAACTGGACACAGTACTCCAGGTGAGGTCTGACCAGAGCAGAATACAGTGGCACTATTACTTCCCTTGATCTAGATGCTATACTCCTATTGATGCAGCCCAGAATTGCATTGGCTTTTTTAGCTGCCGCGTCACACTGTTGGCTCATGTCAAGTTTGTGGTCAACCAAGACTCCTAGATCCTTTTCACGTGTACTGCTCTCAAGCCAGGTGTCACCCATCTTGTATTTGTGCCTCTCATTTTTTTTGCCCAAGTGCAATACTTTACATTTCTCCCTGTTAAAGTTCATCTTGTTTGTTTTGGCCCATTTTGAATGGGCAAGGAAGCGAAGGTTACTCCCACTGATATTCTTGCCCACTCCCTGTAGGGCTAGAGTTGGGATGGGTAAACGGTGGCTCTGGAGAACAGCAGACATACCATTTTGTGCTATTAAATACCAAGGATGAGAAAAGTGGCTCCCCAATAAATCAATAAGATTGTTTGTTGCACAAAGGTGCCTCTACGAGTCATTTTTGGCGATTAATGAATTTCTGGTGAATGAGGCACAGGGGTGCCAACTATAGGGGGCTCTGGGTACCTAAGCTCCCACAAAATTTTCGTTGCGGGTGCTCAGCAGCTGCACCACAGGGCCCCCAACACAACGTCTGGTGCCTCGGGAAACACCGGAAGTCATGCCAGAGACTTCGCAAGACCTCAGAGATGCTGTCTGTGGCCTCACAAGACCTCGGAACTTGACTTCTGGTAGCACTGGAAGTCGGGTTCCAAGGCCAGGGGGCGCGTGTGACGTCAAGACATCACATTGCAGTGTGACATCATGATGTTGCAGTGTGACATCATGATGTTGCAGTGTGGCATCATGACGTCACGAGCACCCATAACATGGGGCCCAGGTTGGCTCCCCTAATGAGGCGTATGCAAAAAATAAAAAAGCAGCTGTGTCCCTTCATGGTTTTTCCACTTTTTTAAAAGCACACAATCCCACTGTCCACAATTTTAAAAGTTTACAGTCCCACTGTCCACAAAAATATAGTTACCTGTGCTGACTCCATGCAGTTGTATGAGCCTGGACGTAATAATAATAACTGAGCATTGCCAGAGATCTGTTTTACATATACAGTGAAATTTTATTTCTCTCACTACATCTTAACAATTTTCACAAATACGAAAACCCGTGTATGGTCTCATCGCCCGCGTGTAACGAAGGAACAGGTTCAACAGACAATTCAGACGTGTAAACGTTAACGCGTAAGCTCAAAGCGTTACAACGCAGCTGCTGCACATTAAGGTGTCACTGGCAACGTTAGCCATGTGAATCTCTCTACGAATTAGCTAAAGAGAGGGATTAAAATTTTGTTTTATTTTTTAACTGTTTTTAGCCTGTCATCTGCTAGGTGTTTTCCTAACCTCCACACACACGTACCCCAGCTGTAACATAATAAATACAATTCTGATTCTCTCTTTTAAAGGACACTTAAACAAGTCATGAGAAATTTACAGTACATTTAAGTGGAAGTGCAAAAAAAACCCAAAACACTTATCAACTACTCTCTGTTGTTTGGTCCCAGGTGTCCACGTCTAGATTCTGTAAGGCTTATGCACTGGGAAGACCCCATAGTATTCCATGCGGAAATCTGAGGGGCTCTTCTGCCTTCCTCACAACCTAGCTTGAGGTATTCCGTTACGTGGTCTGCATTCAAGCTTTGCCTAGAACAGATCTAAAAATCTGACATGCTTCCTTGCAAGCAACCTTCGCCAAGCCTTGGGCCCCACTCCAGCCTTTTGGGACTACAACTCCCAGAAGTCTCAGGGTCACACTGTTGTGTTTGGGGCTGATGGGAGATGCAGTCCAAAACACCTGGGTGGTGGACACGAGGCTGTACATTTCCGCCCGCCTTTTAAAAGGATTGATCGCCTGCGGCCATCGCTTGTCTCGATTACACGGAATGTAATGTCTCTCCCCGTCGCCACCCAAAAGCCAGTTCAGGAAATGAATCTTAGTATACAGGCTGGTCTGCCCAGGGGTGTAAGTGCTGGGGGGGGGGGGGCAAACACAGCCATTTGCCACGTCGCTTGGCTGCCAGAAGACAACAGTGGTTTGGTTCTGGGCTGCCTTTCAGTATGAGGGCAACCCTGCCCTTTTTCAGCAGCTGTTCCTCAGGAGAGAAAGCTTTTAGCAACCCTCTTGAGCCTCAAGGCTTCGGCCTGGAATAAATAATAATGTTAATAATTTTATTATCTATACCCCACCTGCCTGGCTGGGTTGTCTCAGCCACCATAACATTTCTTTTCTCAGCAATAATCAGCAAAATCGGGTTTGACTAACATTTGGGAAACATGAAAAGAAAAGTAACCTGAATCTGCCAGTGTATTTGACAAGCAACACAAAGTGTTGTCGCGACAGCTCAAAACGTACGGTGCCGATTTTTCATTTACGTAGGATGGCTCTCCTGTCATTCCAGCTGTGTTTATATTAATGATTTCACCTTTTCCTAACCAAGAACCATTAGGAGTTGTGTCCCAACCCTTTTGGCAGCCCACAGGCACTTTAAATGTACCCCACACATCAAGTGGGGAACTGGCAGTCTGCCACCCCCAAATGTTGCTGGACTCCAGCTCCCATCAGCCACAGCCCATGGTCAGGAATCATGGTATGTGTAGTCCTAGCAATGTCTAGAGAACCGCAGGCTCCTCACCCCTGCTATAAATAAATATAACTGCCCCCCCCCCCAATAAAATAAATTTTACACTATTGTGAGATAAAACTTATTGGCCCTGATCAAGAAGTGCAGTGGCTGAGCTCACAAGGATCCCCTCTTGCACCAAACAAAAGGTGCTGTCAGCACGAACCACACGTGAATCCTTATATGGGTTTTCCCTGGCAAGACTTGGGTGTCCCCCAAGTCCAAAAAAGCATTCTGACATCCTATGTGAGCTAGGAGAAGAGCCATCTGTCCCAGATGTGCATATGTGGCTCCTGTCTCTCAGCATGAACGCAAATACCCCATAGCTGACTACAACAGGGTTGGAGAGGAAAGATTCACCTCCACAGACTGTTTCTCCCCGCGTTGGGTTGGGTCAACAGGGTCCCATATTCTCACAAACGGAACAATTACAGTCAAGTGTGGTTTTTTATGCGTAACGCCGAACCTACACAACACAAACACAAGCCCTAACCCACAGCCTCGTAAACGAAGGGTTGTAGGCAGCCAAATAGTTTTGATTCAGTCTAAATGCCCTTACCAATGCCCTGCGGCCTGGCCAGAGAGCAGTGAACAGCAACCTGGCCAGTTCAAAAGGTTCCAAGGCTCGTTTTTAACACAGAACTCAACTGGCCCAAAGCTATTCAAAGTTCCTGAAAAGTCTTTACAAAAGACAGAATTCTAAGCCGCTCCTTCATTTAGGTATTTAACTAGCGTAGTCTCTCTATAGAGTTTCAGTAGTTTATGCAACTCTCCTTGGGAAACTAATATGCCTCCCAATAAATTAACATAGATTTAGGGTGGGTGGGTGGAGAGAAATACCTATGAATTCTCTTTTCCCCTTCCCTAAGAACTGATTTTAAAAATAATAATAATTCATTGTCTCGAGCAAGAAGGAATGCAAGGCAGCATTCCTCTTTCAGAACAGAAGCAAACCTTCCTTTCACAAATTAAATCCACTACCAAGTTAGATTTCCGTTTTGTTTACGCACAAATGGACCCCAAACCTCGTTCCCGCAAAGGTTGAAAAGCGTTTTGTGTGGAATATTTTAACTCCTCTGCTAGTTATTTTGACACCGGCCTCTTCTGGCCTAGCTTTCCTAGGTTTTTAGTCCTTCCTGCCACAGGCCTATTGGGCTTTGACACAGAAAAAGGCCTTAAATATTTAAAAATGCGTGCTGTGTCAGGTTACCATCGCGGAGATGAAGGGAGCTGCAGTTTCAAGCTTTTCGTTTCAGCATTCCTCTCAGCTCCCCCCAAAGAGCAGGATCCAGTGCAGCAAGATGAAGACAGGCAGCAAAGGCCTATTCCTGCCCTGCCTCAGGAGGCTGAGCGCTGCAATCTGCGGGAGCTGGGTCTGGATCAGGGCAGCCTGGGCTGAGGTGGGTTTCAGGAGCTGCCGTAGGTACAGAAGTCTCTGCAGACGCATCACTGCTTTGATTCTGAGGGACGCTTGGTGCAGAGTCATGACTATTGTTGGCTTTCTAGGAAAGAGAAAGGATCCCATGTAAAAATGCATACTTGCGGTTTTTCCCGCTGCTCAGGAAAGCGCACATATCCTTCTACAGCAGGTAAGCCAGGCAGCCTTGTCAGAACAACAGCAGCAACGAAAAACATCATAGACAGCACAGCACATAAGCGTTAAAAGCAATTAGGGGGAAGCGCGATCATACCCAGGTAAAAACGTTGGACAGCAAGATGTCAAAAAACTTACCTTGCTTATTATCTTTTCCTAACTGCTCTTCCCCAAGAAGCATGCATGAAAAAAACTTGTTGTATTTTAAGGCAAAAAACGTTCTCTCAAAATGTTACATAGGCAATAACGCAGCACATCCCTATGGCTTGTTAACACATTTTGGGGCTCCTCTGCACATACTTTGCTTGACATATTTTCCGTGTAATCCTTTGCATTACCGCCACAGCGAGTTAAGAGTTTGCTATTTCTGGAGCTAAGCTATGAATATTTCAGGAGACTTACTAAGCAGCAGGCCATTTTCCTACTCATGGAAAAAAGTGTGGGGGGAGGGGAGATTGTAACATTTTCTCAGGACTCGATGGCCCTTGTGGTCTCTTCCAACTCTATGATTCTATGATTCTATGATTCAGGTATTTTAACGAGTTCGTTTCTACAATTTGCAAACATGAAGCTAAAGCTAAAAGTTAACACGACCCCCCCCCAAATCCAAACCCTAAACAAATCCCACAGACCACTGCAGCCCAATTGGAACATGGCAGCAGGCTTGTGTATTCAGATCTCCCTACTAGCTTGGGTCTGATGGCTGCAAACGGGCCATATTCTTTCCTGACTCTAATGTGGGTGACATCTATCATTCAAGGGCTGAGATGCTTATCCCTGGGTGCTTTAGATAGTAGTGGAACAGATTCTTGTGCAAAAGTATCAATGAGCTATCAGCAGTGGCGTAGCGTGGGTTGTCAGCAACCGGGGCAAGGCAAGTAATTTGCGCCCCCTAACCCGTGGATTTGCGCCCCCTAACCCTAACCCCCAGATGTTGCGCCCAGCCCCCCCTGCACCCCCCACGCTACGCCACTGATCATTAGTGCCAACCTCTGAAGGGACACATTTAATCTCATTTTTAAGACAGCTGCTTTATGAGGCAGAGACTCTTGATGACAAAACTAATAATTTTGTCATTAGCCAGTTAAGCTGCTTGTGAAGATCTTGATGGAATTAAGGGCAAATGTTGCTTGAGTGTAACAGCACATTAAAGAAGTCGTTAGTACAGCGTACTTTCAGGCAAACACACACCAGGTTTTTCAAAACTTTGGATTCAACAGCAGTGTTGATAGGCTCCCCCACTGCCTTACAACAATGTGAATGTTTTCCTTCTTTTGTTGCTGAAGCCCGCCTGCAAATTACTAGTGGAATTTGGTCATTTTAGACTCTGGCCTTGCAGAGTGAGGGGAGCTCTATAGATGGCAATGTCTATTCATTTATTTCAAAACGCAATGGCCAGCCCTGTTGTCTTTGGGGGGGGGCAGGACTTTTGCTCCAAATTTTGGCCCCCGTGCATCATTGCTGCAAATCACATAGGACAGGCTTACTCAACCTTTGCCCGCCAGATGTTTTTGGCCTACAACTCCCATGATCCCTAGCTAGCAGGACCAGTGGTCAGGGATGATGGGAATTGTAATCTCAAAACATCTGGAGGGCCAAGGTTGAGGAAGCCTGACATAGGAGGCTTGGCTACACCTCGGTCCAAAGTGGGGCAATGGACACTGTCAACAATCCAGTTAATTGATCACAAATATGTACCTGATTAATCAGGAGATTCTCATTAGTTTGGGGGGTGGGTTCTTTTTTAAAAAGTACGTTTTAAAAAAGTGATAGGTGCTATCTTATAAGAAGCATCCTCTCCACTGTTGAGAAGGGATCATGCGTTTTCTAGGGTGCACATCAATTAAGACAAATACAGTTGTACCTTGGTTCTCAAACGCCTTGGTACTCATCTGTTTTGGCTCCTGAATGCCACAAACCCAGAAGTGAGTGTTTTGGTTTGCAAATGTTTTTTGGAAGCTAGATATCCGAGGCGGCTTCCGATTGAGTGCAGGAAGCTCCTGCAGCCAATCGGAAGCCGCGCCTTGGTTTTTGAACGTTTTCAAAAGTCGGATGGACTTCTGGAACGGATTCCATTCGAGAACCAAGGTACGACTGTAATGCTATTTTCTTCGGATTCTTTTTCCTTGCACACACATTTATGCATTTTAAGATTCAGTGAATTAAACATCATTTGATTAACCAACTGAATGAATGAATGAATATATATATATATATATATATATATATATATATATAAAATCAAGTCAGTGAGAGCCAATATTTAAAGGGAACCCCGTGTGTGTGTGTGTGTGTGTGTGTGTGACAGAACCTTCTTCCCAAAATCCAGGTACTTTTAAGACTGGCTTTGTTTCCAGCCTTGCTCTGCATCAGCCTGCCGCAAATATTTGATGCTTGGAGGCTGCATATAGCTGTTGTGGCTAATTTCTACTGATTATCTGCCCTTTCCAAAAAAAACAACAACAAACCCACCCTTGTAAGATATACACATTATCTCCTCTTGTGGTAAAGCATTCCGTAGATTAAATCTGTGGTTGCACGAAGCAGAACTCTCTCTAGTCAGTATTCAAGCAACAGCTAATAAGTTTTGTTGAATAACCACAATCGGAGGAGCTTCCACGTTGCATATGGAGACAACCCGCGAAGTTTGTGGGCTCAAGCCCCCCCCCCCCCAGATACGACCTTCTGGGGCTTGTACTGTTTACCTCAAAGAAGAGAAAAGCACTGCAAGCCCCATAATTCTTCTCCAGAACCCCCTGTGAACACCACTCTCAGACTGCCCTAAACAACCCAATGGACAGATCTGCGTGGTTGAGATACTCCCACTGCTATTTCTTTTGGAATGCAAAGCTTAACAGCTAGGAATTCAGGGAGGCTTGCAAGAGACCTTCGCCTGTCAGGTAAGCACATCTGTCAAAACAGGAGAATAAGCTAGGAGATGAGTTGAGCCATTTCCCACTTTTTGGGTGGGGTTGCCCACCTCTAACTGTGCAAGAAACCTTATTTGCAACCCGTTTCTCTGCTGTCGGGTTTGACGGCACGAATTAAGAAAGGGATGGCGGGTACCAATGATCACATCTAACCCCGAGAACGTTTCCTTGGAACCCTAAAAACCTCTCTCCTCCTAAAAACACCTTTTAGGCAGCAAAGCGTGGGTTACCTGCAAAGGCTGGTTCTCGAGCAGCTGGTTGCTTTTGGAGAGCTGGACCATTTCCTTGATCTGATAGAGAGCGTAGGCGAGAGTGACCCAGGGGGAAGAGCTGACACTCCAGGCAGGCTTGTTGACGTCTTCCTGCTCTTCCTGGTGCTTTGTTTTCTTGGGAGGAAGCTTGGGCTCTGGCCGAGGCATGATATCTTCCGTCTGTTGCTGTACCAGGTCAATGGTGGCTATGGGCACAGGGCTGGAAGGCACTGGGATCCTTTCGGCCAGCATGGTTTTCTCTGAAGTTCGAAATAAGCGTTTGAAAGGTCAGTATTTGTTGCCGTACAGCAGGGGTCGGCAAGGTTTACCTCGCCTGGGCCGGTTCACTCCAGCGGAGATTCCTCCGTGGGCCTGGTCGCGTGCGCGATTTCCGGCGTATGCACATGCGCAGAGCGCGGGGACTGGCCGAGGGGGCGGCTCGGTTCAGGGGCGGCACGTGGGCTGGTTAAATGACCCTCGGGGGCCGCTTGTGGCCCATGGGCCTTAGGCTGCCGACCCCTGCCGTACAGGGTGGATAAAAATCAATAATAAGATTTTAAAAATCAGATTTTAAAAAAAAATTAAATCGGATTTTTAAAATAAAATGGTTTTGGAGGGAAAATATTTCCAAAGATAGTTTTCTATTTAAGTTACATTACAGTCCAAGGGCTATTCATCAGGAAATAGGATTTATTTTCATGTGTGCTAAAACCCAGTCTTAAGGGTTGTTGTTTTTTTAAAAAATTGTTTAACCGCATCAGTAAACAAACATGGATATGCTATAACGTTATTGTTTTAGTTAAATAAATTGTTTAAATTGTTATTAAGGAAATTATTATTATTTCCCTTCCAATAAAGTACAGAAGAAAGGTTGTCCAAATATAAACAGTTAACTTATTAAACCTCACAATAATTTCATAATGATCGGTCTATGTATTTCAAATAGTATAACCAAATCAGTAATTTCAGATAGAACCGTAAAAACGACTCTGAAAATTTATTTGGTTGCAAATATTAAGGTTACACCAGCAAGAATGAGTCTTTTTGTAAAAAAAATAAAAAATGATTTAAATCACTGACTAGTGATTTAAATCGTGATTTAAACCAAATCCACCCTGTTGCCCTACTAAATTTACTTCTGAGCAATCAAGGGCACTTTTCAGAATCCCCAAACCCTCAAGCCCTGAATGGAAAGAAGAATAGAATCCACTGTTCTATGATCCTTTCATGCAAAGGGACACATCTAGTGCAACCCCCTGTAATTGTCAGGGACTGGGCAGAAGAGGAACTGTGGAGACCGCCTCCCCATCCTGACCCTTCCAGGAAGGAGGAAGAGGAAGACAGTTTAGATTTACAACAGGGGGTTGAGGAAGGCCACAGCTCAGAGGCAGATGAGGGGGGAAGTTGGGAAATAATAGGAGAGGAGGAAGCCCCGGGGGTAACCAGCTGACGGACACAGTGTAGATTGCAGTTGTGGTAGTCTAAAACACCACAATAGCTTCCCTGGGCCCACTTGCTGCTAAGAATAACTCAGCAACTCAGGGGTTAGCAACCTTTTTCAGCCGTGGGCCGGTCCACCGTCCCTCAGACCATGTGGTGGGCCGGACTATATTGGGGGGGGGGGAATGAACGAATTCCTATGCCCTACAAATAACCCAGAGATGCATTTTAAATACAGTGGTGCCCCGCAAGACGAATGCCTCGCAAGACGAAAAACCTGCTAGACGAAAGGGTTTTCCGTTTTTGAGTTGCTTTGCAAGACGATTTTCCCTATGGGCTTGCTTCGCAAGACGAAAACGTCTTGCGAGTCTTGCGATTTTTTTCCGCCCCCCCCCCTTTTCTAAGCCGCTAAGCCTTTAATAGCCGCTAAGCCGCTAAACAGCACTAATCCGCTAATAGGGTTGCTTCGCAAGACGAAAAAACCGCTAGACGAAGAGACTCACGGAACGGATTATTTTCGTCTTGCGAGGCACCACTGTAAAAGCACACATTCTACTCATATGAAAACATGCTGATTCCCAGACCGTCCGTGGGCCGGATTGAGAAGGCAGTTGGGCTGCATCCGTCCCACGGGCCTTAGGTTGCCTACACCTGACTCAGATAGAGAGCTTTTTATTTACTGCAGCTCAGCTTATCAAGAATCTGCTCACGCTTTAAAATGAATTATGCGTAAGGTAGCAAGACAAATTCAACTATGGGGCAGTGCTTATCCTTAGCAAGCTCTTTCGCTCCTAGACCACCCCCATTCCCAGAGACATCCAATAATAATAATAATAATAATAATAATAATAATAATATGTCCAAGTGCTGCTGTCTTTCCCTTGTCTCTGGATCAGTTTGTCTTGTAGACAGAGGACCCGACATTTTTGCTTATTAAGGATGTCTTCTATTGAAAAAGCCTCTGCGTGCCCAGCGTGGAAAGTTCTGCTTAAACGTCAATTAAAAGTAAGCCCGGCCCTATAGCATTAAGGTTATGACTCGAGTCAAAAGATCAATGAGACTAAATGGACACGAGAGGAGTTCAAAGCAGACGAGGAGATCACCCCAAGAGGCAGAGGAAAATGCTCTTAGGTTGGGTGCCTCTGAACACATGGGAATAATCTACCTACCTTCTTTCTCATCAGGAACTGCCACCCACTGGATCAAAGCAAAAAGCAATAGGATCACAAGACAGGCCATTCCTATCCCTCTGAATGTCGAAGCAGCTCCTGTGGAGAGAAGCAAGGAAGAGTGAGACCCAATTCAATCATGCAAAGAGCGATTTCTAGCCAGACTTGTAATGAAGTAGATGAACGAAAGGTCTGGCTCAAAAGTAAGGCAGATTTGCATCTTTATAGGTTTATTTTTATTTATATATATATATGTAATTATCTTCTGAGGCACCTCTGAGGATTGCACTTTTAACGCGGTCTACTTTAAGCCAGTTAGATCACACCCTTTGGATGAAAACATTAGGAGAGAAGTTGTAGAATCATTTAAAACACCATGGCTTGGATTTAGGGTGGAACTACGGCATGTCTAAGGACGCGAGTGGCGCTGTGGTCTAAACCACTGAGCCGCTTGGGCTTGCCGATCAGAAGGTCGGCGGTGATCAGAAGGTCGGCGGTTCGAATCCCCGCAACGGGGTGAGCTCCCGTTGCTCTGTCCCAACTCCTGCCAGCCTAGCAGATCAAAAGCGTACCAGTGCAGGGAGATAAATAGGTACCGCTGTGGCGGGAAGGTAAACGGTGTTTCTGTGTGCTCTGGCTTCCGTTGCGCCAGAAGCGGTTTAGTCATGCTGGCCACATGACCCAGAAAAGCTGTCTGCAGAGAAAGGCCTGAAAGCGGATGAGAGCCGCACCCCATAGTCGATTTCGACTGGACTAAACCATCCAGGGATCCATTCCCTTTTGGCATGGCTAACTTAAAGTGAATAAAATTTGCTCACGATGCTCAAAGCATTGAATTTATGCTAACAAGTGGCAGACAGGCTTCCTCCTCTGACCACGCATGCATTATTAAAGTCTCTAAATTCCTGCATGAAACTAAAAGAGTACTCAGCAAGGGACAGATATGGTGAGTTGGGGATTGATGTTTAGAACCTTTGATTCATGCTCAAATTGGGTACGCCACACCTGTGTGTATCGGGACTTGCAAATATTTCAAAAGTATGGGATCATCTCCCGTTCTGTTCTTCATTTGAATACAACTGTTAAGGCCTTCTTGGTGGTGGCGCCCGCCCTGTGGAACACCCTCCCATCAGATGTCAAGGAAATAAACAACTACAGTGGTACCTCTACTTAGGTTCACCGCAGGTTACGTATCCTTTGGGATACATACGCAGCAAGCCTGGAAGTATTTTTCCAGGTTTCACTGCGTGCATGCGCAGAAGCACTAAACTGCACGCATGCACAGAAGCGGCACCTCCGGTTGCGAATTCCTTGGGATCCGACCGGAGCTCCGGAACGGATCCTGTGTGCAACCAGAGGTAGCACTGTATCTGACTTTTGGAAGACATCTGAAGGCAGCCCTGTTTAGGGAAATTTTTAATGTTTGATCACTTTATTATTAATAATTTTCTGTTGGGAGCTGCCCAGAGTGGCTGGGGAAACCCAGCCAGATGGGTGGGATGATAATACAGTGGTGCCCCGCAAGACGAATGCCTCGCAAGACGAAAAACTCGCTAGACGAAAGGGTTTTCCGTTTTTTTAGTCGTTCCGCAAGACAAATTTCCCTATGGGTTTGCTTTGCAAGACGAAACGTCTTGCGAGTTCTTGCGAGTTTGTTTCTTTTTTCTTAAAGCCGCTAATAGCCATGCTTCGCAAGACGAAAAAACCGCAAGACGAAGAGACTCGCGGAACGGATTAATTTCGTCTTGCGAGGCACCACTGTAATAATAATAATAATAATAATAATAATAATAATAATAATAATAAATTAACATTATTATTATTAGGTGTTTTGAAGATGACAGGTAAAAGGACTGTCTTAAAGATACAGGTCCTTCTAATTTGGTGTGTCAAGTATTCACACAAAAATATTCTGTTGGGAGCTGCCCAGAGTGGCTGGGGAAACCCAGCCAGATGGGTGGGATGGGAAGAAGAAGAAGAAGAAGAAGAAGAAGAAGAAGAAGAAGAAGAAGAAGAAGAAGAAGAAGAACAACAACAACAACAACAACAACAACAAACAACAACAACAACATATTATCATTATTATTATTAGGTGCTTTCAAGATGACAGGTAAAAGAAATGTCTTAAAGATACAGGTCCTTCTAATTTGGTGTGTCAAGTATCCACACAATTTCATATATAACACAACCCCCCCCCCCCAAAAAAAGAAAACACAAGCACAATATCAGCATTTGGCTAACATAACTTAAGTATAGGGAAGGGAATGGCTGGGAAACATTTAATAAAGCAGCATCCAAAATGCATGAAAGGAGAGTAAATTGCTAATGAAACTATCCAACATGTTTCTCTTACCGAAATAGTTGACCAGCACTCCTCCAACCATTGCTCCGCAGCCTCTGCCCAGGCCAAGGTGGAGGCCCTGCAGTATACCCTGAGCAGAAGTTCTTAATTCGGGAGGAACAGCAGCACTTAGGTAGGAAATGCAAGCTGCCCAGATGGCTGCATGGGTCACACCTGCAGAAAAGGAAGATGTTTCAGAATTCAGTTATTATGCTCCTGAAAATTGTTCCCCCCCCCCTTTCTTCTTCAGCCAGATTCAGGTTGTCTTGGATGAAATGGATTTTAGGCTGGGCTTCAAGGACAGAAGTTGCTTGGTTACTCTACTGGATGAGGGAGTGTGAGACCCTGTTGATTCTCTAGGGCAGGGATGGCCAAACTTGGCCCTTCAGCTGTTTTGGGACTACATTTCCCATCATCCCTGACCACTGGTCCTGTTAGCAAGGGATGATGGGAGTTGTAGTCCCAAAACAACTGGAGGGCCAAGTTTGGCCATGCCTGCTCTAGGACTTTTGTCACCAGCGACCATGGTATCAGTGTTGATAGGCTGTCTGGGTTAGAGGTGGGAGACCCTGGTTTTTAATGCTCCCTTTCTAACTTGGATGGCTGACTGCAGAAGATGGTGCTGGCGGATGACCCTACAGCACTTATGCTATGGACTTCCCCATAGAGGTCCATTTTATCGCCAATTCTACTCAACATCCACATGAAACTATCATGAGTCTGGGGGTGTGAGGTGAGGCATCATTAAGATGCAGGTGGCACCAGCTCTGTAGCTCTCTTTTATCAAATCAGGAGAGGCAGGGGATGTTTTGAAACAGTGCTTGGGAACAGAAGGACTGGATGAGGCCCGAGACTCGAGCCAGACAAAACAAAGGTGAAGTGAAGGCCCAAGACAGGTGTTGATCATCATGTGAGCTGCGCACAGGTGGTCTGAAGCGAGCGAGCTACCACCATTCCTGCTGGAGCCTCTTTTTATTGAGACAAACATGCAAGCTAGGCAAATGCATTTTTGGGCTGTGACCTTTACACATCTTCCGTCCCGAAATCGTGGGGTGGTACAAAGTTATTTTGGCACCTGTTCCACAGCGTCATTTTCCCCTTGCACAATGTATGACGAATGGAGACAAAGGTCTCATGGAAAAGGGTTACAGACAGGACACCGCAAATTGCTGAGATCGCGAAAGGTCAGACGTGGGTGGAACGATGTCCAGACAGCTGTGGCTTGTCTGGGGGGGGGGGTTTCCCTGCACCCCAAGGTCATGCGTGCAGGCCGACCGTGGCTGCCTGCTGGTGGGGAAGTGTGCTCCCTCCGGACCCCACTGCCCCACTCCGTGATATCCCTACACAAAGGTACGCCTAATGGGAGGTTCAACTGCCTAGTTAGGCGGAGGCCTTCAAACTGTTATGGATAGGGTTGACCCAGTCTCCCCAAACAGGGGTGGTTAACCTTTGTTTTGTACTGAGGGCCACAATTACCATGGTGCCCCCCTCAGGGGGGGGGTCACATGGCAAAGTGGGTGTGGCCAAAGTATAGAAGTGGCCATGGTAAGAATCATAGTCCTCAATGCTGCCATCCAAAAAACAGATTTTCTACCATCTGTTCTACACTATTTTAATTGTTTGAATCATTCGTTATTAAATCCAGCAAACAAACAAATAATGTAAATTTCCAAACGGCGTGTTTTTGGGAGGGTCTGCTTGCTCCTTGTTGCAAGCAAAAGCTCTCTTTAATTGTTTTCTTCTTTTTAAAAACCAATTTTGGAAAAGGAACTATTTCCTATTTTTGGAAACTGCAGGGTCAGAAAGGCTAAACAACAACAACAACAATTCAGTTCCACAATTCGGTTCCAATCTCATCAATATTGTAAAAGATTCACGTGTAATTGGTGTGTACACTAATTTTAAACCAGCACTGCTAAGCTTCAGCTGCCTGCGATTCTTGTTGCTAGAAGGGGGACCCAGCTATTATTACATTCTGAAATGCATTAGATGCAAACTAGAGTTATCCGGGTTTCGAATTCATTGATTCCGAGAGTCTGGTCAAAGGCTGCCGAGGCATTTCTGCTGCTGCCCGCAAGGTGACATGCCTTTGATCTCAACTCTACTAGTAAAAACTGTACACACAGAGAGAGAGAGATAGCACAAATCTGCAATTACAGCTCTCCCATTAAAGTTTACTGCCTTGTTTTTGCATCACCTGTGCTTTTAAGTTTACACATCAGGCTTAGCAGTTGTGCTTAATGTGGCATAGGCTGCTTTCACGCACCTTTAGTTTATCGAGAGCGCCTGTTGTTTCTCTACTGCTTTCCAACCTTCACTTAACAAAATGTCAAACCTGTCAAAATGTTACGATGACAAAGCACAGGGACGCTCTGCTGCTCCTGCCTTGAGCCAGATATATATAAGGAACACCATTCGCTGGGCGAAAACCTGTTCCGACTAATCACGTCTTTACAAGCTGTCTTTACTTAACTGTCAGGTGACACCACCTTCTCCACCCTTGGCGCTGGCAAAAGTCCTAGGTAAATATCTACTTTGGCCGTTAACTATCTGCGGCCTTTTAGAAGCAAGTGGGATGCATTTAATGTATTTCTCTTTCCTCTCGGTTTTAATGGGGGGAGGGGGTTACTGTCCATTTGTATGGTTGTTATGTTGCTCTGGATTACCCCAGGCAAGATCAAGCGAGGGACAAATTTAATAACAAAATAAAAATACTTCTGTGTCACAGATCCTGAGAGGCCTGCATTGGCTCCCAGTACATTCCCAAGCACGAGTCAAAGTGTTGGTGCTGACCTTTAAAGCCCTAAACGGCCTGAGCCCAGTATACCTGAAGGAGCGTCTCCACCCCCATCGTTCTGCCCGGACACTGAAGTCCAGCTCCGAGGGGCTTTTGGCGGTTCCCTCACTGTGAGAAGTGAGGTTACAGGGAACCAGGCAGAGGGCCTTCTTGGTAGTGGCGCCCGCCCTGTGGAACGCCCTCCCACCAGATGTCAAGGAAATAAACAGCTCTCATACTTTTAAAAGACACCTGAAGGCAGCTCAATTGCCGCAGCGGCAGCCAATCCAAGGCAGCCCTTGACGCAGCAACCAATCACCTGCCCAATTAACGCAGGAGCAGCCAATCCAACGCAGCCCTTGAAGCAGCAACCAATCACCCGCCCAATTAATGCAGGAGCAGCCAATCCAACGCAGCCCTTGAAGCAGCAACCAATCACCCGCCCAATTAATGCAGGAGCAGCCAATCCAACGCAGCCCTTGAAGCAGCAACCAATCACCCGCCCAATTAATGCAGGAGCAGCCAATCCAACGCAGCTCTTGACGCAGCAACCAATCACCCACCAAATCGCCGCTTACAAGCTGCAGCTTGCGGCTGCAACCAATCACCCGGTCCCCCAATGCACTGCCCATGTATAAGACTAGCCCTGTTTTTAAACACTATTTTGGAGTAAAAAACTCTCGTCTAATACATGGAAAAGTACAGTGTGTGTTTTTTTCCAGCCTAGCCTATTGCGGTCTGCTTTGATTGGCAACATTTCTTCTGGGTCCCCGGCAAATGTTTTCCCCCCAATCCTTGAAAAGCGCCGATAGCAGGGACTGGACCTCAATGCCACTGAGCGGCAAGACTCCTCCCTCCCCTGAGATCATTTGAAAAGGCCCTGCATAAAATGCTCCAGTCCTCATAGCTGCTTCTCAAGGGCATCTGGAAATCATAGAGATGGCATCGTTTGGATCTTGCGCGTATTAAATTACATTTCATTATCTGATCACTTCTGCCTGAACAGAATGTACCTAGAAATGAAAGGGAGGCAGCAATGAAGGGAAGCGGCTGACTCTCAGACAGCAACTGATCTCATTCCACAGATGAGGAAAACTCCCAATGATTTCATAAGGAGCCCAAACGGCACGATCTGTGGGCATAAATAAAGGGCAGCAACTCAAAGGAGAAATGCTTAGGAGTTGTAAAAAGGAATCTGGAGCCATATGCAATCTCCTGGATACTTTTATCGCTCCCACTTGAAAAGAAGTCGTCTCGTATCCAAGGGAAATGTTCGTATCAAGTTCAGAAGAAAATAATTATTTCTATTTACAAGGCCAACATCCTTAGCTGAAGGCTCTCAGCGTGTGTGTAAGACAAAGGCAGCTTCTGCCACAAGGGATTTAAGAAGGAAGGACACGTTACAAGGGAAAATATGTGTGTGGGCCCCCAGAACATAACCCCCATGTTATGGGGGGGGGGGCGAAAGACGCCTGCATTGAAAAATCATGGCACATATTAAGGGCCGTTTTGCCATTTTCAGGTGAGGTTCTATCATATCCTGGCAAATTCAGGTTGTACAATTAAAGCTGATTTAGTGCTCTCAATCAACAAACCTGCTACTCCTCCCAAACGGAAGTAAGGCATGCCATGTAACACCAACTGCCCTGGGAGTGGGATTCCAGGGGAAGAGAGAGGAAAATAAGCTGGGATTCCAGGGGAAGAGGGAGGAAAATAGGCTGAGATAGCAGTAGAAGAGGGAGGAAAATAAGCTGGGATTCCAGGGGAAGAGGGAGGAAAATAAGCTGAGATTCCAGGGGAAGAGGGAGGAAAATAAGCTGAGATTCCAGGGGAAGAGGAAGGAAAATAAACTGGGATTCCAGGGGAAGAGGGAGGAAAATAAGCTGGGATTCCAGGCGAAGAGGGAGGAAAATAAGCTGGGATTCCAGGCGAAAAGGGAGGAAAATAAGCTGGGATTCCAGGGGAAGAGGGAGGAAAATAAACTGGGATTCCAGGGGAAGAGGGAGGAAAATAAGATGGGATTCCAGGGGAAGAGGGAGGAAAATAAGCTGAGACTCAGGGGAAGAGGGAGGAAAATAAGATGGGATTCCAGGGGAAGAGGGAGGAAAATAAGCTGGGATTCCAGGGGAAGAGGGGGGGAAAATAAGCTGGGATTCCAGGGGAAGGGGAGTGGGGGAATAAGACAACCCAAGGCATCTGCCCCTGCAAGAAGGTCCTCTTCCCCTCCCACCTCCCACCGCCAACTGGGCCATCTACCACCAAGTACCATGTCAAAAAGATACCAGGAGACGGAGGGAAGGAGGGGAAGACAATGCCTGGCACCTGCTTCAGTGGGTCTTCTCAGAAGAGCCTAAAGATCAGCTTGGTCTGTACAGGGGTAACGTGCCCAGCAGGTTTTCACACAGATGGAAGTTGGAAAATGGGGACCCTGAGCCACTGAAATCCACTTCTATTCTGGTTTTGTACACTCCAGTGTTCTCTGAATGCACAGTAGATAATAAATATTGAAATAAAGAAAACAGCGACATTGATTTGGGCAGTTTTTCCCAACCTTGGGTCTCCAGCTGTGGGTTTTTTTTGGACTACAACTCCCATCACCCCTAGTCAGCAGGACCAGTGGTCAGGGATGATGGGAACTGTAGTCCGAAAACAGCTGGAGATCCAAGTTTGGGAAACACTGATCCAGGAGAACACACACCCCTTCCAAAAAAATTTGCACCTGTTCCTTGAGAGGGAGCGCAACTCTGTCCACTGTAGGTACACAATTCAATTCTCAGACCTGGGAACCACACCTCAATTGAGTGTCCACCTGGTTGGGATTCAGTTGCAGCCCATGACTGCACCACCATTCAGATTGCAGATTGAAGGGCTGGAAAATCTCATAAACTGTACCAGTAATTCCCATGCCTACTTCCTTTCCCCTGGCCTCTACCTTCCATCTCTTCCCTGAGTGTTTTCTGCCTACGCAAATTAAAACAGTCACCAAAATAAGTTTCTCCGCAGCTGATTCGATTTAATCTGGGTGTGGAGGCAAGTGTAGGTTCCACCCACCCACCTCCAGCAACTTCCATGCGCTGAATTCTTCCTGAGCCAATTAAAAGCTGTCATCCAGTTTGCAGGGTCGTTAACATGCGTAGCCGGGCATATTCAGTGTGCGTGAGATTGGCAGCGCTTGCGCAAAGAGAGGTATCTCAGTGTTTTGTTTATCTAAGCCAGTGATGGCCAAACTTGGCCCTCCAGCTGTTTTGGGACTACAACTCCCACCATCCCTAGCTAACAGGGCCAGTGGTCAGGGATGATGGGAATTGTAGTCCCAAAACAGCTGGAGGGCCAAGTTCGGCCATTGCTGATCTAAGCAGAAGCCAAGATCTCGTGGTTGGAGAGGAGACCTGGAAAGTGCAGTACCGTCTAGAAACTCAGAACCAAAAGTGACCGGGGGGGCGGGGGGGGGCGGAGAGCAGCAGCAGGAGTCAAATAAAGGGTTCCTGTAGCCAAAAAGCTCTCTCTCTCTCTCTCTCTCTCTCTCTGTGTGTGTGTGTACATGCACATACCCAAGGCCAAGTTCCTGCAACCTACTCCATATTTTTCTTCTTGAGTCAAACACTCTTTCGTTCTGGCCCTTGCTGCCTTAACTACAGTGGTACCTTGGTTCTCAAACTTAATCCGTTCCGGAAGTCCGTTCCAAAACCAAAGCGTTCCAAAACCAAGGCGCACTTTCCCATAGAAAGTAATGCAAAACGGATTAATCCGTTCCAGACGTTTAAAAACAACCCCTAAAACAGCAATTTAACATGATTTTTGCTATCTAACGAGACCATTGATCTATAAAATGAAAGCAATAAACAATGTACTGCCGTCACACAATCAATCAATCAGTAGTTGAACTGGGTTCCACACAGTCACACACACAAAAAAAGAGCCGCAAAAACGAAAACGCAAAATCAATAGCAAAAACAGACAGACTTCAGCTTAACACTCAAAACAGAAGTGTGGCACTCAAATTTGAAGTGTAATACTCAAAACGAGGCATGTTTGGCTTCCGAAAAAAAATCGCAAACCGGAACACTTCCAGGTTTGCAGTGTTTGGCATCCAAGCTGTTTGAGTACCAGGGCGTTTGAGAACCAAGGTACCACTGTATTTCTTGTCTAGGTTGGTTTCAGTGTTCATTATGACACAGTTGCAATTCAAACGAACAGACAGATTAAAGGAATTTGTACAAATGAGGACTGATTATTCTGAGCACTGAGTTTTGGGATTGAACATGTGAGTACAATTTTTGGGATTCGCAGCACGTGAGTGCAAATCTAACAAGGTTATGTTTATAAAACGTCAAACAGCAACTCTTGTGTGAAAAGCACCATTAGAAAAGACTTCCCCAACCTGGTGTCCTCTAGATGTTTTTGGGCTAGGACTCCACATCCTCACTGACCATGCTCTCTGGGGCTGGTGGGAGTTTGGAGTCTGACAACATTTGAAAGGGCATTCTAGGATGAGGAAGCGCTGGCAAAATATCTTGAAAGCACAAGTCTTTTTGCTTCCCTTTGCATGCAATCTGTCCAATTATTTTCCACACCAGTCATTTCTTTCCAGACTTCATTGACCTTCATCATGATTCACAAAACGTCACTGATAACTGGGGAACACTAAAGAGAACCGGTTATTCCTAAACATTTACCTGGGTGTTTTTGTTTTAAGATCCAATGCTAAAAAACAATGGCCTCCTTTCTGTTGCACAATGTGAGAAAAACAGCAAATTTCAGGGGTATGAATGCCTTCTAGACAGGAATAGGCTGAAGTCTGCCAGCAACAAAGGCTTATTTGCAGAAGGCACAAGCTTCCGTTTGAGCTCCTGTCTCCTTTGTTTGGGGATCAAGGTGTTCTGCCATTTCACTGTTTGCTTAGGTGAAAAGCCACAGAATTTGAGGTCAACTGAAGAAACCACCTCCAGATATTAAACTTGCACAGAGCTTTAAAAAAAAAGATCCCTTGGGTTATTTACTGATAGGTACAAGAACATAGACAGACTTTTAGTTCATCATGGCCCAGATGAAGAATTTATGTATGCAACCCAGGATCAGAAGTACAGCACCTCCTTACCTTGAAGAACTTCCATAGGCAAAACCGTCCAAGCATTTTCCAGGTAGGAGATGTAAATATAACGAGCCGTGTTACAAGCAAGGCCGATATACAGGACTCTAAAGGTAGGAAAGAAAGAAAACGACACGGGCTAGTTTAATGTTTGCAACGTCTTGCACATAGTAACTAACAAACCAACAGTTACTAGGCTGGCTTAGTGCTATTTTACTGGCCATTTTATACAAGGTAGAAGTTTAAATAAATGAATGTAAAAACAGGGTAAAGGACTCCTGACAGCCAAGTCCAGTCACGAACGACTCTGGGGTTGCGGCACTCATCTCACTTTACTGGCCAAGGGAGCCGGCATTTGTCTGCAGACAGTTTTTCCAGGTCATGTGGCCAGCAAGACTAAGCTGGTTCTGGCGAAACCAGAGCAGCGCACGGAAATGCCGTTTACCTTCCCGCCGCAGCGGTACCTATTTATCTACTTGCACAGGCGTGCTTTCGAACTGCTAGTTTGGCAGGAGCAAGGACCAAGCAATGGGAGCTCACCCCGTCGCGGGGATTCAAACCGCCGACCTTCCAATCGGCAAGCCCTAGGCTCAGTGCTTTAGACCCAGCTACTGCTCTGTAACAGTTCTTCCCAGATAGCTCCTTTTCTGAGATATTGGTTCATTGTGCTTCCTTGCATTAATATGGACCCGGCCATTTTCAAGTTAGGAATGACTTTCAAGTGATTTTTTTTTTAAATAGGGGGCAGGCAAGCTTCAATGTTAGTACCGTCTCCTGCCCCCACCTCTAAGACTTATAAAAAAAGAGGCTGCTGTGTTTCATGTACCGAACTGGAGGAAGGGAAACCAGGTCTCTGCAGAGGGATCAACGTAACCATTGTGCAAGGGGAGATGTGTAGTTCTATACTGAGGAGGGGGGAGTTTACAGTCTGCAAAGGACTGAAATAAAGTAAGACGAAGCATGAATGAAATGGTCAGGAATTGTTGCAGGAGGGGAAGGTACCTTTCCTAGACTTGCCACCTTTTGTTTCTAAAGAGCTCCTTGCGCCCTGAAAGGTTCCTCCCCCAAACTAACATGAAGAATATAACTTTCAAAAAGTATCGAGAGCCCAGTGTGGTATAATGTTCAAGGGGAAAGACTGGGACCTGGGAGACCTGGGTTCAAATTCTCACTCCACCATGAAGCTCACTTCGTGATCCTTGGCCAGTCACTGTCTGCCAGCCTAACCTACCACACAGGTAGGTTGTTGTGAAGATAAAATGAGGATTGGGGAGAGGCATGTACACTACCACCTTGACCTCTGAGGAAAGGTGGGCTGTGAGTGTAAAATATATAATAAATAAAAAGTTAGAAGGCAAGTATTGTCACTGAAAGGGGATTTGCGAATACCTGGATCACCTGAGACAGAAGAAAAACAGCTGCAAATGTGAAAATCTTTAATAAAAATTTTAAAAAAACCCCACAACTTTTAGCCATTATGCGCTGACAGCTGGTTGGCATGGAGGAATTGTATTATACAGTCATACCTCGGGTTGCGAACGTGATCCGTGTGGGAGGCACGTTCGCAACCCGCAGCATTTGCAGCCTGAAGCGCCCCATCTGCACACGCGCGTGACGTGATTCGGCGCTTCTGCGCATGCGCCAAAACCCGGAAATAACCCGTTTTGGTACTTCTGGATTTGGCGCAGTTCGCAACCCGTAAACTTGCAACCCGCAGCGTTCGTAACCCGAGGTATGACTGTTTGAGGAGGACACAAATCAGCCAGTGAAAAGGTACAATTAAGCATAACCAGTTATACAGGGTTTTTAAAAAATGTTTTGTTTAAAAACGTTTCATAAAATGTATTTGGGAGGTGGCAGAATGAAATATTGGAAAACTGTTTCCAGTCTTTAGAGACACTGTTTATGGCATTCACATGCTATTTACACATTTCTCTAACTGAGATTGATCCAGCTCTGGTAGTCTCTAAGTTTATAGCATCTCAAGTGTCTAGTATAAACAACAGACTAGGAAGCAAATCCAACCAGTTACCCAAGAATGGACTCTTTATTTGCTTGCACTCATTGCTAACAAAGCCCTCCGAAGAAGACAATAAAACACTTAGCAAAATTCCTGGCTAAACAAGATGGATAAAATATGTAATCAGTTTCATCAACTGAAATTAATTATTTTCAAACATTTCATTTGTAGCAATAAAAACCAAAACAAGACTTCTGAAGTTAATACTGGAATACTCCAGAATACTCAGACAGCAGCCACTGATAATCATAATGCCTATGAATAACTGCCCAGAGACCTTCGGGTATAGGGTGGTATATTAATAAATAATAATAATAATAATAATAATAATAATAATAATAATAATAATAATAATAATAATGTGTCAAGTCACTTTTAGATATATGCTTGCTGAAAGTCACTGCCAAGCCTCCTTGTTGTATACATTGACCCACTGTGTGCAGGAGAGCTTTCAATCCTTTTTTAAAAGCACAAAATTTTCTCTGGTGATATGCAGTTCAAATATTGTGAGAAACAGAGGAAGAATTATTCACCCCTCCCCGTCATTTCTGATTTATGTGCATCCCATAATGCCCTTGTTTACTCAGCTCTTTTCTATCTGCAGAATTCCAAAGGAAGTCCGTCCGAAGAAATAATTTACACACACAAAAGAGAACAAAGCAATCGGTCAAATATTACTCTATGCAGTGCTATTTTTCTAGAAAAAGGAGTGCTGGAACTCACGCCTCCCTTGTTCTCTTATACAGCGGTACCTTGGTTCCCGAATGGCTTAGTTGTCGAACAAAATCGGCTCCCGAACGCCGCAAACCCAGAAGCAAGTGGTTTGCAAATGGTTTTCGGAAGCCGAACATCCGACGTGGCTTCTGCTTAAGCTCCTGCAGCCAACTGGAAGCCACGCCTTGGTTTTCGAACGGTTTCGGGAGTCAAACGGACTCCCGGAACGGATTAAGTTCGAGAACCAAGGTTAAGTACTTAATTCGTTCCAGAGGTCCGTTCTTAACATGAAACTGTTCTTAACCTGAAGCATCACTTTAGCTAATGGGGCCTCCTGCTGCCGCCGGAGCACAATTTCTGTTCTTATCCTGAAGCAAAGTTCTTAACCTGAAGACTATTTCTGGGTTAGCGGAGTGTGTAACCTGAAGCGTATGTAACCTGAGGTACCACTGTAATGGCAATGGTGCCCACCTGAGAGGTGCCAGAACTGAGTTCCAGCTGGAAAAAAAATCCCTCTGTATTCCCTCTGTACAGTGGTACCTCGGGTTACATACGCTTCAGGTTACATAGGCTTCAGGTTATAAACTCCGCTAACCCAGAAATAGTGCTTCAGGTTAAGAACTTTGCTTCAGGATGAGAACAGAAATCATGCTTCGGCAGCGTGGCGGCAGCAGGAGGCCCCATTAAGCTAAAGTGGTGCTTCAGGTTAAGAACAGTTTCAGGTTAAGTACGAACCTCCGGAACGAATTAAGTACTTAACCCGAGGTACCACTGTATTCCCAAAGAAGTGGCTATTCATTGCTGTCCCTTGCCTCTTTGAGAATCTGCTGAACTATAGATTCACATTGTTTCCTGCAGACCCCATTCATTAGCCATATCAAATGGCTACCTTCTTGGCGAGTGGTCCTCTCCTATGTCATAAATAACACTTTGTTGTTGTTGTTTAGTCGTTTAGTCGTGTCCGACTCTTCGTGACCCCATGGACCAGAGCACGCCAGGCACCTCTGTCCTCCACTACCTCCCGCAGTTTGGTCAAACTCATGCTGGTAACCTCGAAAACACTATCCGACCATCTCGTCCTCTGTCGTCCCCTTCTCCTTGTGCCCTCCATCTTTCCCAGCATCAGTGTCTTCTCCAGGGAGTCTTCTCTTCTCATGAGGTGGCCAAAGTACTGGAGCCTCAGCTTCACGATCTGTCCTTCCAGTGAGCACCCAGGGCTGATTTCCTTAAGAATGGATGCGTTTGATCTTCTTGCAGTCCATGGGACTCTCAAGAGTCTTCTCCAGCACCATAATTCAAAAGCATCAATTCTTTGGCGATCAGCCTTCTTTATGGTCCAGCTCTCACTTCCATACATCACTACTGGGAAAACCATAGCTTTAACTATATGGACCTTTGTTGGCAAGGTGACGTCTCTACTTCTCAAGATGCTGTCTAGGCCTGTCATTGCTTTTCTCCCAAGAAGCAGGCGTCTTTTAATTTCATGGCTGCTGTCACCATCTGCAGTGATCATGGAGCCCAAGAAAGTAAAATCTCTCACTGCCTCCATTTCTTCCCCTTCTATTTGCCAGGAGGTGATGGGTAACACTACCCCCACCAATACTGTCAAGTCTTACACAAGTGTGCATCCTTATTTTTTTTAGATTTCAGGCAAAATATATTGAGCGGTCTTTGTGTGTCAAGGGCATTATTATACCTGCATAACTCGTATTTCTGTTACTTTTCTGTTCCACCTTTTCTGGTTCTTCTACATTTCTTTTGTATTAGGATGGCTTAAGTGTATGCAAACACCAAGTGTGACATGATTTCTAAGAGAGCATAATGACATATGCTGTATCTATCCCATTTCCAAATAAATGATTTTTTTGTGCCAGCAATAAATAAATATGGCTTTGTTTTTCCACATGTTGCAATTAGCTTCGCACTCCACTAACCATCACCCCAATGTTGAGCCATTTTCTGAAATGTCTCCAGACCTGCATTAGAGCTAAAGATTTTGAAATATTGTTGTTATGAGAACATTCCAATATGTATTTGTTTTCTAGCATACGTTTCCCACCTTCCATCGTGGAACATGTGGAACTGAATGAGAAGAGGGCAGTCCCTATCCTTTTTTTTGCAACTTCAATATGCTTTGAAACCTTAGCAGCTTTCTGCCCATGCACTCTACGTGGGGCTACCTTTGAAGGTGACCCGGAAACTACAACTAATCCAGAATGTGGCAGCTAGACTGGTGACTGGGAGTGGCCGCCGAGACCATATGACACCGGTCCTGAAAGACCAACACTGGCTCCCAGTATGCTTCCAAGCACAATTCAAAGTGTTGGTGCTGACCTTTAAAGCCCTAAACGGCCTCGGCCCGTTATACCGGAAGGAGCGTCTCCACCCCCATCGTTCATCCTGGACACTGAGGTCCAACTCTGAGGGTCTTCTGGCGGTTCCCTCACTGAAAGAAGTGAGGTTACAGACAACCAGGCAGAGGGCCTTCTTGGTAGTGGCGCCCGCCCTGTGGAACGCCCTCCCATCAGATGTCAAGGAAATAAACAACTATCTGACTTTTAGAAGACATCTGAAGCCATCCCTTTTAAGGGAAGTTTTTTAATGCTAGATGTTTTATCACTTTTTTATCATTATTATTAAAATTCTGCTGGGAGCAGCCCAGATGGGCAGAGTATAAATAATTTTTATTATTATTATTATTATTATTATTATTATTATTATTGGCTCAGGGCATGAGACAACCTTCATCTCAGAGTCATGGGTTCAAAGCCAATGTTGGGCGAAATATTCCTGCTTTGCAGGGGGTTGGGTCAAGGGTCAAAATCCCTTCCAGCTCTACAATTCTAAGATTCTATGGTTCCCAGGTGGTCTGCCATCAGGCACTAGCAAGGCCCAGACATGTGTGCCATCAAACCATAACCAAGATCTGCTACCTCATTCATTTCCCTTTTCAGATCATGAACGGGTAAAGCAGAAACAGGAAGCCCAATGCAGATATATGTGATAGTCTTAAGTGAAAAAAGAATGCAGCTCGCCACGTAGGAACATAAGAAGAAGAGTTTGGATTTGATATCCCGCTTTATCACTCCCCTTCAGGAGTCTCAAAGCGGCTAACATTCTCCTTTCCCTTCCTCCCCCACAACAAACACTCTGTGAGGTGAGTGGGGCTGAGAGACTTCAGAGAAGTGTGACTAGCCCAAGGTCACCCAGCAGCTGCATGTGGAGGAGTGGGGAAGCGAACCTGGTTCCCCAGATTACAAGTCTATCGCTCTTAACCACTACACCACACTGATGTTTTTCATCAAGTCAAGACCATTGGTACATCTAGTTCACTGCGCTGAGTGACAGCGACTCTGAAGGGTTTCAGAAAAGGGGGTATTCGCAACCTTACTTGGAGGGATTGAACCTGGGATTTTTTTCCATGCAAGCACATAACTCTACCGCTGAGCTACAGAAATCCATTTCAACTATGGCGTGGATCGGTGCAATCTTGCTATTTGCTTGGTTAACTGTCAACAGCGTAGCCTCCTAATGAAGATCTCCTTTGAACAGCAAACTTTGAAAAGGTTGCTCACAGGAGCAAGACGGTTTGAGCATATTAGATTGATCTTGGTCTGACTACACTGGCTACCAATTAGTTTCCGGGCCCGATTCAAAGTGCTGGTTTTAGCCTATAAAGCCTTAAACGGCTCAGGACTGCAACACCTCTTTCCATATGAACCTACCTGGACCCTGAGATCATCTTCTGAGGCCCTCCTTCGTATGCCTCCTCCTCGAGAGGTCCGGAGGATGGCAACATGAGAACAGGCCTTCTCTGCCGTGGTTCCTCATCTGTGGAATGCTCTACCCAGGGAAGTTCACCTGGTGCCTTCATTATACACCTTCAGGTGCCAGGAAAAAGCATCCCTTTTTAACCAGGCCTTTGGTTCATCTGTTTGACATCCTATACCCTTTTAAAAGGGACGCGGCTGGCGCTGTGGGTTAAACCACAGAGCCTAGGACTTGCCGATCATAAGGTCGGCGGTTCGAATCCCCGTGACGGGGTGAGCTCCCGTTGCTCAGTCCCTGCTCCTGCCAAACTAGCAGTTCAAAAGCACGTCAAAGTGCAAGTAGATAAATAGGTACCGCTGCGGCGGGAAGGTAAGCGGCGTTTCCATGCGCTGCTCTGGTTCGCCAGAAGCGGCTTAGTCATGCTGGCCACATGACCCGGAAACTGTACGCCGGCTCCCTCGGCCAAAAAGCGAGATGAGCGCCGCAACCCCAGAATCGGCCATGACTGGACCTAATGGTCAGGTTACCTTTACCTTACCCTTTTAAAATGTGGCTCTTTTCTGGGGGGGGGGTGCTATCTGGTTGTTGTTTTTATTCTGATTATATATGTTGTGATCTTTTCTGTGAACCACCCTGAGACCTTCGGGTACAGGGTGTTATATAAACTCAATAAATAAATAATATAAATTAAAAATACACAGTACACGTATCTCTATAACGACTCTAAAGTGAAACTGTATTTAAATGAAGAAAAAATGGAATTCTTGCAGCGGGGCAAACTTCTCATAGTATGGTACCCCCGATTCGACAATCATGCACTTTCTCAGCTGCCAGAGTTACCCAGACTGGAAGATTATTGTATATTATGTTGGTACCAAAAAAATAAGATAAATAAGCAGCAAGTGACCTACCTCTGTGCCCCAGAATATTTTGTTACCTAAGGCAGAAAACCTTCCTCATTTATTTGGCAGAACAAAATGGCATGCATAAAATAATTCAAAGATGAAAGGTCATAAATATCTTTCCTGGGATGTGGGGGGGGGGAGTGTTATGTTGGAAATTTGAAGAGGAGCAGATGAATTTTGTGGACCAAACATTTCTACTACATCAGAAACCAAAGTTCTTTTAAAGCAACCTCCCCAAACTGGGTTTTCTTAACGGTGGCATTGCTTTAAAGGCATACTTGTGTTTTTTCAAGCAAAACTTGCAAAAAATGACAGTTCGGTCATTAGTTTTGCCAGGACTTTCCCTTGAAAGGTACTCTTATTTCATTTATGGCAGCATGGCAGAGAGATATGGAGTCTATGTGATGTCACCCTGCATTACAGTGCTGTCCGGGGCAAAGTCCCAGCTGCCAAATATTTCCCCTGTGGCAGCTTTTGAAAGATCATCTTTCAAGGTTAGGCACTGGGAACTCTATTTGACCCCCACCGACGGTTATTATCCATGCTATGGAGAACAATGCGTTTGCGCCAGTAAAATCTAAGCCTGAGGCTATAATCCTATACCCACTTTCCTTTGAATAGGCTTTGTTAAACTCAAGGGGGCGATTGCAAAAGGGCTCACTTCTGAGTACTCACAGGTTTGCACCGTTAAGGTACAGGTGGCTATATCCAAGTGAATTACACTCAGGGTGGGGCCCACTGAAATCACACCAAATACGATTCAGTGGGATACAACTCAGGCAATTCCAGCTGGTCCACTCATGGCCTTACTTAACAGCTGGTTTGCATGCATGTATTTCTTGTGTGGTTACTATACACTAAGGTAAAAGGTAAGGTTTCCATGCATTCTGGTTTCCATCATGTTGTGCAAGAAGTGGTTTTGTCATGCTGGCCACATGACCTGGAAAAGCTGTCTGTGGACAAACGCCGGCTCCCTTGGCCTGAAAGCGAGATGAGCGCCACAACCCTATAGTTGCTAGTCGCTTTTGACTGGAGTTAACCGTCCAGGGGTCCTTTACCTTTTACCTTTTATACGTTAATGCATTTGAAAGTCTGAATCGTTTACTCCACCCTGTTCAAAACATCTCCACAGTGTCTGGTTTTATGCCAAATAGCAGCTGTCACCAAAAAACAAGCCTTTCTCATGCAGTTTCTTGAACTGGCTTCAGGTTGGCAGTTGTTATGCAGAGCAATTTATTAATCTGTAATCCTAACAGTGGCTGGTACCATGTTATGTGGGAGAAATGAAACCATCAACAGGTTAAAATGTTTTTTTTAAAAAATCAAATACTGGGGAAATCCAGAAAATAGCTCCTCAAATACTGACGTATCTAATAGATCAGTTATAATAATACTGAACATTTACATAGTTCTTTTAACCATTCAAAGAATGTATTTTCAAATATAACCCTTACAAGAGCTCTTTAAGCCAAGTTATTATTATGCTTCAAATTTCACATCAGAAGAATGAGGCTTAGAAAGAGTGGCTTGCTTAAGACCACCTAGTGCGGTTTTGCCACATGTGAAATTTAAATGAGGGACTATCCCGATTCACACCTTAAGCTATGTACACACGGTAGATTTTAAAGCGCGTGCACACCCACCAATAATTTTAGGAACTGTAGTTTCCCCCAAAAGAGCTGCAATTCCCAACACACTTAAACTACAGTTCCCATTATTCTTCCTAGAGGAGGGAGGGACAGAGGTGCTTTAAATGTATATGCAGCTTCACTCCCCTGGGCTGCAATCTTAAACCCACTTACTCGGGAGTAAGTCCCATTCACTTTAATATAACTTGGTTCTTTGTAGATATGCTTAGAACTGCACCGTTTTGCCATCACAACTCTTTTGCACCTTCAGATGTGGCGGCAAATCTTTGGCTCTCCAAATGATTCAACTCCCAGCAGCCCCAGGCAGCATGGCGAGGAATCAGGATTGAGGCGAGCTCTAATCCAACAACATATGGAGGGTCAAGGTTTCCTTGCACTATTACATTCGTACCTTGGATCCCATATGCCTTGCGAGTTGAACGTTTTGGCTCCCGAACGCCACAAACCCAGAAGCGAGGGTTCTGGTTTGCGAACGTTCTTTGGAACCCAAATGTCCGACGGGGCTTCCGATTGGCTGCAGGAGCTTCCGGGAGCCAATCGGAAGCCGCACTTTGGTTTCCAAACGTTTTGGAAGTCAAATGGATTCCATTCGACTTCCAAGGTAAGACTGTATTGTCGAACTCCGTTTGACCGAGCTGATAAGGCTCATCTTCGGAATCGCCTCCCAACGATTAACTGACGACCTGATCCTTTGATAAGGCCTCAGGCACGTCGTCCCAGCAGAGCTTCAAAGCAGCACGGAAGGATGAGATAGTATGAGCTACATTGCTATGCTTTATTTTCTAGCTACGCAGAGAGCAAAGAAATATACATCCTCTCCCTGTGAGAGCAGAGAGCAACAGAACAAAGGAAACAGGAAACCACTAACGTCACATCCCGTCTCCCTTCCCGTGAGACTTGAAGGTCTCTGGAATGTAAACAGAGTCCTGTGACTCCCAGCAGCTGCTCAGTGATAAGAACAGAAACTAACATGTATATCTATGCTTGGCGCAACACTGACTACGGCTAGTCAACCACCACCATACCGTTTGCTTACCTGATGTGTCCAATTAGCTCGATCAACTTGTGGCTGAAGAAATACGCGGTCAGTTCGGACACGTGACTCAGGACGGAGCAGACCCCGAAGAGAGTGGTGGTGCCGTTCAGGTCCTCCAAGTGCCAGTAAAGGAAGGTGAAGACAAATCCGTACCCAAAGCCCATGAACCAAGCCACAAAGAGCACGGAGCCATATTGGATACTGCAGAGCAGCTTTATCAAGTCCCAGAAACTAAAGGAGGGCGACTGGCTCGTGTCACTCGGGGTCTCGTTGGAGGAGTCGTGGGAGGAGTTCCTGTCCGCCTGGGAGACGTCCCCTTCTTTGCTTTGGTTGTCCTCTTGCTTGTAGTGGTTGTAGTGGAACCGGAACTGGGTGGCCACGATCAAGGAGAGCGTCATCAGCACGCCAAAGACGATGAAAACAATCCTGTAGTTCTTGTACTCCGGGGCTTTGCAGCCTTGCCCTTCGATGAGCACATCGATGCGGGTGGCGTCGATGCCGATCCCTACAGAGAGCATGGCCAGGCCCCAGCCCAGAGAGCCCCACATGCGCTGGAGCCCGTAGCGATCTCGGTGCTTGCCAAGGTACTGCAGGGTCACCGTGTCCACAATCGTGACCGACGAGGCGCTGAAAAACTCCCCTATGATAACAACCATCAGGATGAGCAGGAAGATGGCCTCCACTTCCTGGTGGTCGTAGACGAGAGTGGCAGCCCCGGTGGTGGCAGCGGGAGGCACCGTCGGACGGGTCAAATTCCCCAACGACCCGGCAGTAACGATGCCTTTCGGAGTACTGGGAGTAACCACGCTCTCTTCGGCCCTCAACGCGTTCCGTGTGGTCAGAGGGAATGTGGTTTCAGGAGGAGTTGAGCTCACCGCCGCCAAGCTATAAGGAGAAACGTCTCTTTTCCTCCGGCCCTCCGGCGACGCGGCCCGGGCGGTAGGAATCGCCGAAGGGAGGGAGACGTTTTGCGTGGTTGCCGTCGAGAGGTGGCTGGCGTTGGTGGGAGAGACTGGCGGCGGGAACTTTGGTACGCACCTCAAGGTAGCCGGTTTGACGAACCCGATTCCCAAATTGAACAGCACCCAGCATAGGAGGGAGAAGAGGAGGACGACTTTCCCTTTTTTGAAGCGGTCCGCCACCACGCCCCAGAACGGAGCGCTGCAGAACTCAATGAAGTACCTGATACCCACCAGCAGCCCGCTCTGGCTGGGCGTCATGCCCAGTTGCTTGTAATACACTGGAAGCAGCGGGTAGAGCGAACCGTAAGCAGCGTAAAAGAAAAAATAAAAGACTTTGGAGATCAGGAGATCGTTGTTCACTTTGACACAGTGCTTTTCGAGCCAATCCAGCTCCTCGTCCGGAATGGTGGTGGTGGTCTCTGTCGAAGGTGTATCGCTTCGGGTTTGGGGGTCTGGCTCCTTCGAAATCCCGTTGAAAGGGTCAGCGAGCACATACTTCCTCTTTTGCTCCTCTTCGTCGTCGGTTAAAATGGCTACTTTGTCGTCGGCTGCCATGGCTTACTGTCAGCATGAGCTACGTGCCCAGATCTCCAAACTTTAATTCAAGTAGCCTGTGGAAACACACAAGAATCACCATGGTTAAAACACCATGCTTAAATACAGGCTAAAATATAGACCAGGGACGGAGAACAAGGCAACGGCCAGACGTTGCTGGACTACAACTCCCATCAACCCCAGCCAGAATGGCCAACAGTCATGGATTTTGGGAAATGTAGTCCAATAATTTCCAGGGGGCCACAGGCTCCCCATTGTGATATACTCATTTCCTATGGAATAAAATATGTCTTTTATCATTTATGGCTACAGTTAGGATCTTAAACAGGACTTTAGGACTATTAGCCCTTACTTACAGAGATATGGCAGCAATGAATAACTCGATTTTTTACTAACAACTTTGATCCCTCCTACAGTAACATAAGACCCTTGCAACATCTGTAAATACAGAACTAATAAACGTCTGCATGCAATTGTCAAAAAAATCTCCAGTTCTTATTATATGAATGACAGTACTCCAATAAGGAAAGGACAAAGGATTATTAAAGATAGGTACCTGAAGTGTCTCTATGAGAAATTAATGCCAAAGTTTATTTATGTATCATTAATTACTTATTAAATTTCCACCTTCCTTCCAAAGGAGCCCAGCGCAGCAATCAACAAGGGATAAAACAGTAAAATCACCATAAAAAAATGTCTTTTAAACAATTTCAATACCGATGCAGCCTGGGAAACATCTCAACCTAGAAGGCTTGTTGAAAGAGAAAGGTTTTCAGCAGGTGTCGAAAAGACAACAGAGATGGCACCGGTCTACTATATAAATTCAATTAATAATAATAATAATAATAATCAACAGGGTAGGTGCTACCACACTAAAGGCCCTGTTCCTACATTTTGCAGAATAGACCTCCTGTTAAGTTGTTATTCACAGGAAGCCATACTGTGCAGAGTACAGTGAAGGGATGATATGATCTTTCAGGTATGATTATTTATCAGTCAGGAAGAATATTATGGATCGACAGCAAAGAAAACGTGCTCTAATTCTTTCGGAGGGATGACATTACCTCTTCTGGCTACAACCCTTTGTGCCACATTGAAGGCTGTTCTGGTTGATACCACATAAGTAAGGCCTATTAATAATATCAGTGAGTCTCAGGTTGGGGCCTGATTTATTTATTTTTAGTGACAGTTAACAGTGTTGGCTCTGCTTCTACAAAACTCACAGGTGTTCAGTACCTGGGGGTGGGGGGTGGGAATGGGAACAGACCACAGAATTCATACTATAAAGGGAAGAAATGAATCGTGCTAAAAAGTGAGGGAACAGTTCCTAGCAGGGTAGATAACAATCAATGATTTTTTTAAAAAAATCAGATTTTTTATTTAAATTTGTTTTTTTAAATTTAAATTGCATTTTAAAAATTAAATGCTTTTGGAGGGGAAAAAATCTTTCTAAAGACAGTTTTCTATTTAAGTTACATTATAGTCCAAAGACTATTCATCAGGAAATAAGGGTTTGTTTTAAGTTTTTTCCTGTGTGCTGAAACATAGTTTTCCTGTGTGCTGAAAGTTTTTTTGTTTTTTGTTTAAAGGTTAAACCACATCAGTTAACAAACATGGATACATATGCGGTAATGTTTTCATTTCCGTTAAATAAATTGTTTAAATTGTTATTAAGGAAATGATTGTTTTTATCTTCCAATAAAGCACAGCAGAAAAGTTGTCCAAATATAAACAGCTAACTTATTAAACCTCACAAGAATTATCTAAGTATTTCTAATAGTATAACCAAATCAGTAATTTTTGATATAAAAATGTAAAAGCTACTCTGGAAAGTTCTTATTCCAGAAATGAAACCTTCATGTGGTTGTAAATATTAAGATTATACCAGCAGGAATGGTCTTTCTGTAAAAAAAAAAAAAAAAAAGATTTAAATCAACTCTTGCTGATTAGTGATTTAAATCAATTTGATTTAAATCAAATCCACCCTGGTTCCTAGAAACCTGGGAGGGCTTTTCACCTCAGGAGAAGGGAGCAAAAGAGCCCGAGTCATTAAGCATGCAGCTTTCGCGAGCTTTTTTCAGTCCTTTCCACATTCCTATACAAAATCCGTACTTCTTGCACTTTAGAAAAATCAAAATGGGAGACGACTTTCAGAATGCCCTAGTAAAACAGCGTCACAGCCGGAAGTACCTTTGTGCAAAATATATCGAAAAGATTACAGTTCAGACGGCGATGAGAGTCGGGAGGCAATTAAAAGAGTTAACGGAGGCAGAATCAACATAAACACACATTGCTATTTCTTTCACTGTCCCAAGAGTGAAGATACAGACACATCTAGTCGATGAAAAGTTGAACAAGGTCTGGGTTCAAATGCCACTGTTTTGTTGTTGTCCATTTATTTTCTGAGGAACCAGTGGGGGGGGGGGGAGTTTGCCCATAGGGTCAAACTTCCTGTTTCATCACACTCAATTAATATAATAATAATAATAATAATAATAATAATTATACCCTGCCCATCTGGCTGGGTTCCCCCAGCCACCCTGGGCAGCTCCCAACAGAATATTTAAGAACACGACGAAACATCAGACATTAAAAACCTCCCTAAACAGGGCGCTTCAGATGTCTTTCTAAAGTCAGATGGTGGTTTATCTCCTTCAAAGCCTGACTCTGCCCTCCTCACAACCACAATCCCATGAAAGGATTGCCCAGAGAGGGCTACAGCCTCCCACAAACTCCATAAAATTCAAATTGTCAGAATAAGTTTTCAGGGCCAGAGCCCACAGTATCCCAAAGCCCCTTATGAACATGGTCAGGTTAAAATTAGTTGCAATTATGATGCAGGACTTGGTACCATGATGAGATGAATGACACATTATTAAGAAGTCCAGATCCAAAATCCGAATAGATTTTGCTGTACTATCCAAAATCTGTGGCAAAACCATGAAGCCTATACCGCTTCCTTTTAGATTAGATCTATGTGTTTTAGGCACTAGATCCTCAGTTCTTCACAAGATTAGTCAATAAAGATTAGGCTAACAGATCAGTCAAATATGACTCAAATACTGAGTCAGGTTTTTTTTTTTAAAAAAAGCATTAACTTTATTAGAACAGCAACAACAAAGAAGAATTAGTGCTTAAGTCTTCAAGGGCCTTGGTATTTCTGCCAACTCCTTAATAGTAATTTGAAACAATCAAATTAGCTTTTATAACATCATAATGTTATCCAACTGCCAAGCTTTCTGGAGATGTATAAATTAGTTTAATAACAAAACAAGAACCAATGGCAATCTCTTCACTAGTATTATTATGGGATGGGCAAAATGAAGGCGGATTGGATAAAGTACTGTATTGATTCTATTATTTTTAGCTAGCTGCCTGGATGTTTTTCGCAAGACATATTTAGAAGAGCTAAATAAGGATGGTAAAATCTGGCCCATGGCTACTGATGACAAATTAACTCAAAAATTAAGATATAGTAGAGTAGAAAAAAATATATATAATATTCATTTTCAAAAACTAGGCAAAAAAATTATTTTATGACCACAATGTTTAAATGCCTCTAGGGAAAAATGGCACTATTTGGAATTCTTAATAACACTTCAGCTTCAAGTGAGAATATCATAAAACTCTGAGGACAATATACTGATATTACAAATAAAACATTTTATTTTTATTTTTAGAAACGGCATACTACTACCCTCCAATAGCAATAATTATCCTTCTCCCCAGGGACTGTAAATGCAACAACCCCAATTTGTATTGTTTGGGTATGTTTAATTTTAATTCCATTGTATGTTTCTGCTTTGTTTCCTTATTTCGTATATGTTATAAGTTAATGTTGTGTGTTACAGAATATGTTTCGATTAAATAAAAATAAATATTATAATGAATTCTTTTTACTTTCCACAGTGCTAGGAAGATTTCTATAAATGCTAACCATTTACAGAACATTTTTATTTTATACAGGAACACCAGGTCAATCTATCGTTTCCCAACCTGGTGCTCTCCAGAGACTACAATTCTCTTTAAACCGTTTTTGCACAGCCATGTCATGTTTGGACCGATCAGAGTTGTAAATACAGAAAAACTTCAGTGTGCCAGGTTGCAGAAGCCTGGCCTATAATTGCATGGTTTTTTGTTTTGTTTTAATGAAATTTAAAAAGAGCAGAAATAATGCAAAATACAGCAACCATTTTAAAGGAAGCTGAAAAAAGCTACACCACGGTATTCTTGGCTTTGTAGAATATTTGCGAAGTGTTGACTGCAATCAAATATTAAGTAGTTAACTAACTGGTCAACCGACAATATTTGACTGGTCACTTGACCAAATGAAATTCCTTCTATAGATTCTCTTAGAAAGCTAGAACTACTGAGAGTTTTGCTCAACTCTTTCAGGAAACCATACGGTTTCTATTTCGTAACATCTACCCTGGTTACCGATGACAGTGTGGTTTTCTACATGCGCTGAAATACAACTCCCTAAACCTCTGAAGGAAATTATGACTTCTCAGAAGTTTCTGCAAAGGAACTGAAAAAATTAGGGGAATACAGTCATACCTCAGATTGCAAACGTGATCCGTGTGGGAGGCACTTTCGCAATCTGCAGCATTCGCAACCCGCAGCGCTGCGTCTGCGCAAGCGTGTAGCGCGATTCGGTGCTTCTGCACATGTGCAAAGCACGATTTAGCGTTTCTGTGCATGTGCCGAAACCCATTATGGTACTTCTGGGTTTGGCATCGTCCGCAACCCGAAAACGCGCAACCCGCAGCGTTTGCAACCCGAAGTATGACTGTACTGCTGGTACTGGATGATGATCGAAAAACCATTAGAAGCCTTGAGTAGAGACCCCTGCCTTATTTTAAAGCCATTATACATTTGTGAATGAGCTCTTGCTGCTAAACCTAAGTCACTAGTTGCATCATCACCATCATTATTATTATTATTATACCCTGCCCATCTGGCTGGGTTTCTCCAGCCACTCTGGGTGGCTCCCAACAGAATATTAAAAACACGATCAAACATCAAACATAAAAAACTTCCCTAAACCTAAGATGAA